GGCTTTGACAAAGATATCTGGAATTTGGTCTTCTATTCTGCAAGAATTTCCACAAATCAACCCTTTCTTCATATTGACCCTCAGAGATAATCCCACCCATCAATGTGCTTGGTCCTCTTATTTTAAGATTCTTCTTCAGTGGTTGACGAGGGCATTGAGTTTTGCTTCCTTGTCCCCCAAGGGATGAGGCATGATCATGGCAGGTGAACCGTTCCAGAAGTGCTTTTCCTTTCCACAGAAAAACATACACAGTTAACATCATCATACCTAACAGGATTAAAAACATTGCCACCTGAGGGGTAACACGGGACCAGGTCCTGAGTTCCCTTAAGGTTTCTCCAACTTCTGTGGGCATCTTTCAAGTAGGATTCCTACGGAATTTCACTTTGGATTCTATTTTGGAGTGGTGATACAGAAGGAACTAAGGAAAAATGTTTTTTTTTTTGAAAAAAAAAATTATCTAACTCTAGAATAAAAGAAAGTGATTAACTTGTCACACAAATGGGAGTTTTTGTGTTTTCAGTTTGGGACTAAAGTTTGATTGGTATGGGAGATTTTGGAAGAATTTGATTTCTCCACACTCTGTGTTCTGTTGCCTGAGAGGTGCCATGATCAGCATCTCCACTCTTTCTTCAGCTTTAGTAGTAGTAAGTGAAGTACCATGTTCCTTGTGAGAAGTGGAAGATGATGTTGCATTGTCTTTCACCAGTCTCCTTCATCTTACTCATTTTATCATCCTCCTTATTTGAAGCCTCAGATGTTTCCCAGGGAGCAGAGATGGTTCATCATTTGACCATCACCGTTTCTTCCTTGGCTAAATGAAGGTGTCTTGTTGAATACCCCATGAGCACTTCCTTCTATTTAGTGTGTCCTTTGTTGTAGACATTGTGGCCTTGCTTTGTGGAGAGTACCCCAGAAGGATTCCTTCGTTTGTCTTGTGTATTGAACTTCCCAAGCCGATCCTTCCCGTGGTCGAGAACATGGCATTTTCAGTCAAGAAGGTTCTCAGATGAGTTATCTTTCAGTCAAGAAGGCATTTTCTTCCATTTGGCAGCTCATAGTGGGTTTTTGATTCAGAAGGGACCTGATCAAACACCTGTTCACCAAGTAGAAAGCAGTATTTACTGCTTTTGCCTAGAATTTCTTGACGATTCCACAGTCGATGAGCATTGTCCATGCCACATCTTCCAGTTTTGTTCTTTCTTTCAGCAATACCATTTTGCTTTGGAGTCCTTGGTGTAGAGAAATTGTGCGTGATCCCCTTTTTTTTTGCTTTCACTTGAATCTTCTTGACAAGAACCATTAACACCTCGAGAGTCTCCTTCTTTGTTTTTTGAACCTGTGTCTAAATGACTCTTGAGTTTGGCAGACCATGCAACAGGTCCTTCTAGGTTAATTTATTCGGAGGTGAGAAGCTTGCATACACCAATCTTTCATGCCAATTTTCCGACTTCACCCATCTCATACCACCAGCTTTTGGAGATTCATAGTCGACCGAGTAGATGTTCTTGTTTCCTTTGTCCACTGAAACCACTCGGCCAATTATCAGATTGGTACATGTACTTTAGGCCATTCACATAGTACACGTTCCCAACTGAGTGCCAAAAAAAATTCCAACTTTACATTTACTGAGAATGTACCCTCTCTTCCTACAGGGCTTTCAGTGAGAAGAAATTCATGATGTTTTCAGTCACGTGCTTTGAGCATCCACAGTCCATAGTCCATCGCAGTCCGCTTCCTGTCACTGTTCCCTGCACATGCAAATCAAAGGTTAGATTTAGGAACCCAAACTAGTTTGGGTCCCTTGTTATGATAGAAAGGATGAATAAGGGCTTTCCTAGTCCATGCAGGCAACATCCGCTTCTTGCGAGTGGTACCTGGTCCTTTGTTAGTAGTCACTTTATCAGTAAATACTTTGTTTTTTCGAACAGACTGAATCCTGGCCTGGCAATTTTCTTTAAAATGCCCATTGTTCCAACAGTGGGTACATAGCCAGTTATCAGGGATAGTGACATACTTGTTGTGAGGGTTGTAAGGAGTTTTCTCCCTTTGGAATCTAATGCCCTGCCTGTTTCCACTATTGTCAAGATATATGGCAGTGACAGCATCTGAGGACCAGGTCCACTTCAGAGATTTCTCAAGATCAATTCTTACTTTCTCTAATTTAGCTTGAAGTTGTTGATTCTTCTCAAGTTCACTACATAGACTGTTTTTCATAATAGTTAATTCCTTTTCAAGCAAGATGTGTGTCTCACTAGCTAATTCATTCCCTTTACCAAGATTCACATTCATATGTTCTCTATTGAGTTCCTTAATGGTTTCCTCTAGATCAGTGCATATCACTAAAAGTCATCCCTCTCTTACTCAGTAGTTGCAATTTTTCCTTCTAAGGTGTGTTTCTCATTGCTAAGACCTTCTATTGTTTCTTTTAAATCAACAACCACTACCATCAGGTCATCTCTCTTATTTTCTACACTAGTTATTCTTTCACTCAAGGCTTTCTTTTCTTTTTCAAGATTAGTTATTGTCTAATTTAGGTCTACTACACAAACCACCAGATCATCTCTAGATTGCTCGGCCTCTCCTAGTTCTATGGTCAGGATCTCCTTATCATTAACAAGGCTATAATAAGCATCAATTAGGACATTTGCTAACGACCTTAGTTTCTTAGAAGAGTAGGATTTCAGATTTCTCTGAACATCCCTGAAGTTTACCTCATCGTCTTCATCTTCTTCATCATCATCAGACTGAGCCATCAGCGCGAATAGTGAATCATACTTCATTGCTTCAGTTTTCACTACCATCATGGAACTATTTTCTGCATCTGGTTCCCTTTCGGATTCACTAGAGGAGTCTCCCCAAGAAGCAAGAGTCTACTTAACAATATTGTCAGCAGCACTTTTTCGATTGAATCGTTTGTCTGGAACCAGGTTCCTTTTTGCTGCTTTGTCAGGATTTTGTTTGTATTGCTCCTATTTTGCGAGTGGGTAGTCTTTGATGAAATGCCTTGGCTTTCCATATCTGTGACAGAGATCGTTGTTCCTTGCTTTACTTGAACTGCCCCACTTTGGTGTATCATCATTTCTTCGAACCATCTTTTGAAATCTCTTAGTAAGATAGGCCATGTCACTATCTTTATCACTTGAGTTACTACTTTCAGCTTTGAGTACCAGGTTATTTTCCTTCTTAGGCTCTCTTCTTTCACTATCTTTCTTTCTTTTCATCTCGTATGTCTTTAGATTACCAATTAACTCATCCATAGTCAGAGTTTGTAGATCTTTAGCTTCAGTAATGGCATTTACCTTACTTTCCCAAGAACCAAGTAGAACACTGAGGATTTTTCTTACAAGCTTGTTTCTGGGAATGGCATCTCCAAGTGAATGAAGTTAATTTATGAGGGAGGTGAATCTGGTGTGCATATCTTGTATAGACTCATCATCCTTCATCCTAAAGAGCTCATATTCCGTGGTGAGCATGTCGATCTTGGACTGTTTGACATGAGTGGTTCCTTCGTTTACGGTTTGCAATGCTTCTCATATTTCTTTGATAGTGTCACAAGTTGAGACTCTGTTGTACTCATCAGGTCCTATACCACACATCAAGATTTTCTTGGCACGGTAGTTCTTTTATACAGCTTTTCTGTCAATGTCGTTGTACTCTTTTCTACCTTTCGGCACCATTGGTCCTATTTCTTCAAGGGGACATGTGGACCATCACAAATGATGTCCCACAGTTCTGAATCTTTTGCCATCATAAAATCATGCATGCGGGTTTTCCACCAGCCATAGTACTAACCATTGAATCTGGGAGGTCTATAGGTTGATTTTCCTTCCTCAAAGTCGGGTGGAGCAGCCATTGAGATACTTTCTAGGTGCTAACCTTTTAGAAAGAACCTGCTCTAATACCAATTGTTAGTTTGTATGAGTCCACCAAACTATGGAGTACCTGGTCCTATATGAGATGATGCTGAGGATGCTATAGAAACTGAAAGTAAAGAAGACAAGAGATTTTTACGTGGAAAAATCCCACACAAGGGGATCAAAAACCCACGACCTACTCTTGTAGGTTTTTAACTTCACTAACTTGCAATCTCCCTATTACAAGCCACTTTGCAATAACCCTATTACAAAGACTTCAACTAACTTGTGATGCTCTCACCACAAGCTACTTTATAACTATCCTAGTTACAAAGGCTTTAAACTTATGACTATTCCTAGTCACAACATAAACTCGGAAGTTTACGGATTTTTGGTTTTTCCTAAGACAAAGCTTCTAAGAAAGCAAACTAGGAAATACAATGAAGAGCAAATGACAAGATTACAACTCAACTACGGATGTACATAAACTCATTAAGAAACTGATCCTTAGTGGAGTTGTCTTCTTGTTCTTGACACACCAGTGACTTCAATGCCGGAGGAACACTGTTATGCTTGAGAGAATATCACTGAATGCACACAAATGTTGTGCTTTGCACCAGGTTGTTATATCACAAAAGACATCACAATAGATAGTGATGGCAATTCTTGGTACACGCTTCTTCCCAATGAGAAATGACTGTTGTAGTGTCTGCACAGCCACTTCTGTGCAGTTGCGTTCCGGCTGGATAGTCGACTTGTACTTCTATTAGAGAACACTAATGGACCAGGTCCTAGTTGTGTTCCTCTTTTGTAACAGTTGCGAGATAGTCACTTTCTGCTGCTATATTCCAGTTGTACAGCTGACTTGTACTTCTGTCAGAGAACCCTAAGGGACCAGGTCACCAGGTCCCTGTTGTATTCCTCTCTGTGGTCGTTCATTCATTTGCTGGTTTTCAGACTTGAACTAGGTTAGTTGAAATGTATACCATGTGGGTCAGGTTCTCTATTTGGTTCTTCATAACAAGTTTGTTAGATCATCAAAACATAAGAAGCATAAGGCCAATACATTGAAAACCTATCATTGTAACTTCTCCAGCAGCATCAACATACCTTCCTCATCCAAGTCCCTGAGGAGTCTACCTTTCAAGATTGTTCTCTTCCTAACTTAACCATCTTGTCCTTCTCAGCATCAAATTCTTCTTCTTCTTCTTCCTCCACTACTTTCACTTTTCTAGATTTCAATGCAGACCTGGTTCTTTTAGCCAAAGTAGAGGGATCTACAGACTTTGTTTTTGAAATAGACTTCTTTGTGGAAGTCTTGGATTTCTTTGCCTTTGGAGTCACAACCTCCATTTCTTCTGCCTCCTCTTCATCACGAAGAACTAGGTCCATCTCTTCAATCTCAACTGCCTCAATAGGCTCAATCACCTTCCTCTTTCCCTTAGCAGCAACTTTTCTCTTACTTTCTTCTAAGGCATTCTCCAGTTCAGCCTCACTCTTATAGTTCTCCCTCTCCTTGTAGTTCTCCCTCTTATAGGAGGAGTCTCTACAGGGATAGATGATACAACCTTTATTTTCTTATTTTCCTAGCAGTACCGGGGACTTTAACTCCTGAACTCTTTTTCTTTTTAGGATTGTAACTATCAGACACCTTTTTTAGTAGGTCTGCGAGGGGTTCATGTTCAGATGGAACAGGTTCTTGAACATTCTTCCCCAATCTAACCAGCCCCTTAGTAGCTTCTCTGAACCCACTTCCCCCTTTTTCTCTCACACTTTCTTCTTCTCCAGCAGATTCCTCACTCCACACTACCATAGCACATGTTTATTCATTCAAACCAACAAGAGTGGGTGAACATTTAGCCACTCATTTTCCCACTCCCCTCATAGCACCTTGTGCACCCTTACTCTCTTTTTCTTTTCTCTTTTGATTTTTACCACCAATTTTCCCAAACTCAGTTGTTTCAACCCCAGCCACAGTTCATACCAGAACAAACCTATTTTCTAGATTTGTAGCAACCTCAGAGATGATTTTAGGAGTAACTTTAGGGCCAGATATTACCTGCTCTATCTCAGAAGAGGCGGTTTCTTCCCCCTCAATAGACTTGAATGATTCATCAGATTTATGGGGTTCTTCTTCCCGACTCGCTTTAAATTGTTCATTAATTTTCTTGATTTGTTCTCCACCAATGACAACCTTGCGAGCCATCAACTTGAGCCTTCCTTTCTTAGAGGTGGGTGTGGTTGAAGGTGTGATGGATGGTATGGGTGTAGTTTCCTTGGGTGGTGATGAGGGATTTTCAGAGAGGTTTGCCATTTCTATGTTTGGGTATGAGAGAAGATGAGTTTGTGTGTGTTTGGAAAATGAGAGAAGATAGAGAGAATTTTTTGACGGCTTGAAAATTAAGAAGTGAAGAAACAAGTAAGACCTAATCAATTTAAAAAGGAGGTGTTTAATTGGGTAACGACAGCCTTTTCAGAAGTCTAATCAAACTAGAAGTTAGTTTGAAAAGACGTTGAACACTGACCCTAGAATCTAAGCACTTATTGCGGTTTTGGACTCTGTTTGAATGAAACTGGTTCATTTCGTAGCGGATAAGTTAAAAAAGTTTGGAATTAAATGGGACTCTCTTCTTGATCATAATCCAAATATAATTATTCCAAAATATGCAGAGTGGAGAGCACATTCCAAGTAATCTTGATGAACCAAGTTCTTTACTAAGAAATCTCTTGTGTAAGTCTGAATTTTTCAAGAAAATAGAGATAACATCATTAGAGATTAATGAGTCATTTTAGCACATGGCACAAGAGTATACTGATGAAAGTATGAGACTGAGCAAAATCTAATCTAATTATGAATAAAAATTCACAAATTTTCTAACCAATTTTGAATTAGAACTGGTTCCTTTTAGGTGATCTTAATCATCCCTAATTCTAACATATTCCTTTCAAAATGATCTCTACATAGATCTATTGTGAAGATGTCAGCTATTTGCTTGTCAATAGCACAAAATTCTACAATGATCAAACCCTTTCCATAGTTGTCCCTCAAAAAGTGATGTCTAACATCTATGTGCTTAGTTCTCTTGTGATGAACCGGGTTCTTGGTCATACTAATTGCACTAGTGTTATCACAAAATATGAGGACACAACCTACATCAATTCCAAAGTTCATTAATTGTTGTTTGATCCACAAAAATTGAGAACAACATAAGGCAGCAGCAACATACTCAGCTTCAATAGTAGATAAGGCCACAGAATTTTGCTTTTTGATGGCCCAAGACACAAGACATGAGCCAAGAAAGTGTTCCATACCTGAGGTGCTCTTTCTATCCACAAGAAAACCTGCATAATCAGCATCAGCATATCCCACTAAGTTGAAATTACAACCTTTTGGATACCATAGACAAAGATCAGTGGTGACTTTTAGGTATCTCAAGATCCTCTTGACAATCAGTCAAGTGAGATTCCTTTGAATTTGCCTAAAATCTACTACAAAGACCTACACTAAAAACAATTTCAGGTCTGCTAGCAGTGATATATAACAAAGAATCAATCATTCCCCTATATAACTTCTGATCAACATATGAACAAGGTTCATCTACATCCAATTTTGTGGTTGTTGCAATAGAAATGTCAATTTCTTTGGAATCTTCCATTTTGAACCTTTTAAGAAACTCTTTCACATACTTCTGTTGATGGATCATAGTTCCATTTGAATTTTGTTTAATTTGTAAGCCTAAAAAGAAATTAAGCTCACCCATCATACTCATTTCAAATTCACTCCCTAATACTTTAGCAAATTCTTTACTTAACATATCAGTAGTTGCTCCAAAGATTATATCATCAACATATAGCTGAACTACCAAAAGATCTTTACCTTTTTCTTTCAAGAATAAAGTATTGTCAATTTTACCTCTCTTGTAGCCATGCTCAAGCATGATAATCTTTCATACCATGCTCTTGGAGCCTACTTGAACCCATAAAGTGTCTTGTCAAGCTTGTACACATGATTAGGACATTCCTTGCTTTCAAAGCCGGGAGGTTGTTGACAAACATTTCTTCCTTTAGATAGTCATTGAGGAAGGCACTCTTGACATCCATCTGATGGAGAGTGAATTCCATGTAACCAGCAAAGGCTATAAGGAGTCTAATTTCTTTCAATCTTGCAACTGGAGCAAAAGTCTCATCATAGTGTATGTCCTCCTCTTGACTATATCCTTTAACTACCAATCTTGCCTTGTTCTTTATAACTGTTCCATCTTCATCAGGTTTGTTTCTGAAGACCCATTTTGTGTCAATTACTGATTTGTCCCTGGGTCTTGGTACCATATGCCAAACTTGACTTATCTCAAATTGGTTGAGTTCATCTTGCACTGCATTCACCCAGTCTGCATTCTGCAAAGCCTTAACAACATTTTAGGCTCAATAAGAGATAGAAAAGCATCAAAAGCACAAAGATTCTTCAAAGAAGATCTAGTTTTAATTCTAGAGGTTGGATCAGTAATTATGTTCTCAATGAGATGAGAACTTTAGTACTTGTAAGGTTTCACAACCAGCTAGTTTTCCCTAGATGTTCCTTTAATATTTTGTTGCTGAGGAACAAGTTCATGGACAGGATCCTTCAAGGTTTGAGGATCAGTTCTTCTTTGTTTAGCCCCCCTTGTCAGGTTGCCCTAGGTAAAAGGACATGTTCCTTCCTCTGGTGCAGCTTTAGTCTAGGTTGTGGTTTCATTTGAGTTTCTTACCAGCCAAATTGCTTCATCTTCATGTTCCTGCCTCTCAGAAAGAATGTTAGTTTCATCAAAAACCACATCTACACTTTCTTCTACACACATAGTTCTTTTGTTATAGATCTTATAAGTTTTACTATGTGAAGAATATCCCAAGAATACTCCCTCATCACTTTTGGGATCAAACTTACCTAGGGAACCTTTACCATTATTATGCACAAAGCACTTGCATCCAAATGCCCTAAGATGGGATATATTTGGCTTTCTCCCTTTAACTAAATCATAGGGAGTCTTCTCAACAAGAGGTCAAGTCATGCACCTATTTATGATGTAGCATGCAGTGTTCACAGCTTCTGCCCAGAAACTATGGGGCAGTTTATTAGAAAGAAGCATAGTCCTAGCCATTTCTTCCAATGTCTTATTCTTTCTTTCAACTACTCCATTATGTTGTGGAGTCTTAGGAGCAGAAAAATATGATCTATGCCATGCTCATCACAAAATTCAGCAAATTTAGCATTTTTAAATTTAGTACCATGATCAGACCTAATTGATACAAGTTGATTACCTAGTTGTTTTTGCGTTTTTCTAACAAAAGAAGTGAACATGTCAAATGCTTCATCTTTAGATATTAGAAACATTGTCCAATTAAACCTAGAGTAATCATCAACAAGTACCATAACATATCTCTTACTACCTCTGATAAATGTTCTCATTGGTCCACAAGATCCATATGGACCAGTTCCATCGTCCTGGTGGTACTTACCATTTTCTCTCTTTTGAAAGAGGATATTACATGTGTCCCCCTTGCACAAGCCTCACAGACTTTATCTTCCTTGAACTTAATGTTATGCAGTCCTATCACCAAGTCCTTGGAGACTAGTTTGTTGAGTTGACTTAGACTGCCATGTCCAAGTCTCTTGTGCCAAAAGAGGGGATCATTATTCAACACACTTAAACATGTGAGTTCATTATCTGACAATGTGGACAGATCTACAACATATATGCTATTCACTCTTTTTCCTTCAAAGCATTTTGTAGAGGTGAATGCAACCATGTTACCTCTATCATACAATTGTGATACACTTATTAGACTGTACTTTAGTCCATCTATCAATTAGACATTCTCAATAGAGTGAGAATCAGTCTTACCTACCTTGCCAATCCTAATAATCTCACCTTTTTCCCATTTCTGAAGGAGACATTACCTCCTTTAAGGTCCTCAAGTGAAAGGAATTGATTCTTGTTCCTGTCAAATGCTTTGAGCAGTCACTATACATGTACCATATTTGGCTGCTCCCTTCACTTGGACCTGCAAAAGAAAATTAGGAGTTAGTCTTAGGAACCCAAACTAGTTTGGGTCCCTTTCTATAGGCAAAAGGATGAATCAAATTCTTTTTAGCCTAACTTGGTAGCCTATTATTCCTTTGAACAAATTCTTTGTTCTTTTGACTTGCCTTTACGTTTGTAGTGCATTCACTTTTATAGTGACCTATTTTACCACAGTGTGTGCAAATCTTGTTCTCAGAAAGTGTGAGGTAATTGCTTTTGGGATCCCACTTAGGTGTCAGGTTCCCAAAATCAAGTCCTCTTCTGTTTCTAATATGGTGTTCTTGTAGCCATGATAGTGCATCGGAGGACCTATTCCATTTACAGGTTCTGTCTAGCTCATGCTCTACCTTGATTAGATCCTCCTTTAGGATTCTTACCTGCTCATCCCTTTTATACAATTCATCTTTCATTTTTCCTAAATTTTCTTCTAGAGTGAGTTATGTGCGGTCAGCTGTCTTTTACCTATTCCTAATTTCAATTTTAAATTTTCAAATCTAAGTTCTAAGACAGTTGTGTCAAGTTCATGAACCTGGTATTCAACACAACATTTTTCACTTTCAGTTTCACTAGCCCTAAGTTCCAGGTTTTTGCGCTTAGCTTTTAAAACTACACACTCTTTTGACAGCTATTCCTTTTCATTATTTACATCCTTAGATTCATCAGTTAGCTCTAGGAGCAACTCAGATAACCTCTCCTTAAACAAAAATTTAATCTTGTCTTTGAGATGAGAAACACTTACCTCAGCTTCTTCATCAGATTCTCCAATAGCCATAAGTGTTCGTTCATCATCATCATTATTTGAGCTTTCATCTGAGCTATCTCCCCAAGAAGCGACCATAGCCTTTATTGTTCCTTTGCTATTGCTTTTCTTGGGTTGAACATGTTCCTTCGATCAGCTCTTTCCTTCTTCTATTCAATTTTCTATAGAGGGCAGTTCTTGATGTGGTGATTAGTCTTTCCACATTTGTAGTAGCCATCATTGGTTTGCTTCTCAAGAGCTTTTGATTTGTTGTAGCTTCCACTTCTTGAAGAACCATTTTCTCTCCTTAGATACTTCTTGAAGTTTTTGGTGATCATAGTCATTTCATCATCTTCCAGATCAGAACCTTCAATGATTCTGACAGCCAAACTTTTTTCCTTCATACGTACATACATCTTCATGGTCTATCTCCTAAGTTCATAGGCAGTAAGATTTTCAATTAATTCATCCAGTGGAAGAGTAGCAATATTCTTTGATTCCTGGATGGCAGTGATT